TAAGATCTCAAGTAGATTTTGATACCATTATGTTCGTAAAAACATAGCATACTGTGTTCAAACTACAGAAAAACTTAATTATCCATTGATAGATGAATACATGAATAGTCGTTGATACATGGGACATGTTATTCAGTCTTTAAAAAGTGAAATTCTGCACATTCAATAGCAAGGATGAACGTTAAGAATATTATGCTACATCAAATATACCAGCAACAAATCAAATAGAGTAAATTCTCATTTATATATGTCCTCAAAAATATAGAATACAAACAGAAAATGGTAGTTTCTAAACTCAAGGATTGAGAAGAAAGGAGTCACTAATAAAGTTTAAATTATTCAAAATAAATGAATTTATGATATGTAATATACAGAATTCAAATTATATTGAACAGTACAATATTTATTGTGTAGTTGAGTATGTATATAATAATTACCATAATAATTTTTAAAGGACTAAAATTCTGGCACACACTGTGACAAAACCTCGAATACTTACATATTCAAAGAAGTCTTGAAATCAGATACCTTTAATGTAAAAAATTTACAGGAAAGTTCCAAAGTAGGAAAATATATGGAAATGAAATATAGATATCTAGGGGCTAAAGAATTTTAAGAAAGGAAAGAATTACAACTTGGTTATGCATTATAAACAAAAATACCTTAGAATTAAACAGGAGGTATATAATTGGAATATATAATTATTGTCACTAAAGTGTTCTACTTAAAACAGTTTTGTGACATGTACTTGAGCTAAATAATCAATTTGAAATAAGCATTTATAGTTTTTCACATGTATTCTAGTGAAGTAAACTATTATATTTGGTTCATAGAATTTATATGCATCACTGTTAGTGAATCATTTCTATGTTGTACAACAAAATTCTCTGTATGATTACTTTTGATTTATAGAAGTTTAAATTTGCATGACTCAAAATGGTTCATTATTTTTGACAAATTTCTCTTTTCAAAATAAAACCCACTACTGGTGTCTTGCAAATTTTAGTAACAATAATACTGCTATACACTTTCCTGAATTAAAATGTTTTGTTTTCTAAAGTTCAAGTTTTAATTTTCATTAATCTATGTGAGCATACATAATGACTATTCATTGTGGATACTTTAACATTCACATACCACATCTTTAATACTTCCTATGTTCCCTTCCCTCATCCTGCCCACTACTCAATCTCTTGGCCCCCTTCCCATTTGCAAAAGATCTTGCACTCTACTGCTTTTTATCTAGACATTTATTTTGTTTGTGAATTTATAGACACTTTTGGTTACCCATATAAAGAAATCATATGTTATTTAAGCTTGTGTGTCTTTTTATTTCACTTTTTTGGGCCAGAAATTTAATGCAGGATCTGGAGCTTGTCAGGCAAGTGCTGTGTCACTGAGCCATATCCCTGGCCCTCTTCCCTTTCATTTGCTTTTGAGCTGTATCCACTTTCCAACAAATGACTCCAATTTATCCTTCATGGCAGAGTGGCACTCTACTGTATTCCAATACCATGTTTTCTTGATCTATTCTTCTGTTTATGGACACAGAGGTTGCTTCTAAGATTCAGCTTTTACAAATGGTGCTGCTGTGAACATGAGCATGCATGGATCAGTGTAACAGGCCTAACACTTGGCACTTTGGCAAGACACCTACTGGTAAAAGGAAGGTTTGAAATGAATTTTGACTTCCAGTTCTTTGAGGGATTTACACAGGTATTTGCACATTGCATGCGTTAGGATATTTTCCAGTGAACAATGTAGGAAGGAGGTTCCTTTTTCCTCACAACCTGCCAAGAATTTGTAAATCTTTGATTTCTTGATGATCTCCATTCTTAGAAGAATGAATGATACTGCTGTTGCTTCAATTCACATCTCTAAAATGTCCAGCAAAGTCGATCATTCCTCCATGTTTTTCTGGACCACTGGAAATTCTCTTGCTGAGAAGTGTCCATTCACCTCAGTCACTCATTTTTTGATTTGGTCTTTATTTGAGGGAGTCCAAAGGTTTCGGGTTGTGTATATAGTCTAGACCGTTGTCTTAGTTCAGAGATAAGGCTCACTCCGGGAGAACATGGCGGACAGATAACAGCAACCACCGGAGGCTCTCTGAAAGACTCGGCTCAGAAGCCAGGAATGGTGCGGACTAAGGAGACATAAGCAGGTGGAGATATGCTCTGCTGACTCAGGAACGAACTGGGCTGAGAGAAACCAACTTGGAATGCAGTCCTGGTGCTAAAACATGAACAGAAAAGCCTCGGTGTGGAGGCTGGACCCCGCGCCATTGTAAGCCGCGATTTGGGTTTCCCGCCGCGTGGCGGCTGGCTGCCCCTACAGTGGCTCGGCAAGGAGAGAGACGCGCAGAAGCTCTGAGAATGGCAATCTGCGAACGGCAGGGAGGCGTGCACTGACTTGTGGTGAGGTGAGTGAGAGAAACTGACACTCTACCACAGTTTGACTCCAGCGGAGGACTTTCTGGGCCCGAGCAGTCCTGCGGGAGCAGGGCGCGGTGGCGACTCCAGCCACACATCCCCCTCTTGGGTGGGATTGGTGAAAAGTGCCTGGCCTGTGTGACGCTGCCAGCAGACCTGGTAGGCTGTCCCAACCCAGATCCCAGAGCCTGACGGTGGCTGGGAGGGGAGACGCATCGGCTGCCTGGTCCGTAACTCCCTGGTGCGCAGTGGTGAGCAGGAACATCTAACTGGCGCAATTCGATCAGGCTGTGGCTGACTGGGAGAGAAGCTGGGCCTCTTATATAAGCTTGCATATATAAGGAACAGAGAAGAAGAGGCAGCATGGGAAGAGGCAGCAACAAGAAAGGCTCCTCGGCCCCCAATTCTGAGAAACAGGCAATAGCAGACACCGCACCAATACACATAAGGCACCATATAGAGAGCCTCATAGACCAATTCAGGAATGAAGTTATCAACGACCTGAACCTAGAAGTATGCAGAATAGTTAGAGAAATGCTAAGTACCACCCAAGAAAAAACAGGTGGTGGAATGGAAGAACAGAAAAAAAGGGGAGAATTGTTTGATGGAGAAAACAGAGAAAGCATAGAATACGTGAAGCAGGTTCAAAGGGACTACCAAAATACTAAGAAGTCTATAGAAGACTGGCATAACAGCTTGAAAGAAACTAAGGGCAGACTATCTGAACTGGAGGGCAGACTTGTAATATGGGAGAATGAAATGAAAAACTTCTTTAAAATAACAAAGAAACAAACAGCAATAATACAAAGACAAGAAGATGATAAGAGGATCCATAACTTAAGGATTAAGAACATAAAAGAAGAAGTAGGGACACAAACAAGTGAACTACAAAAGCTACTCACAGAAATAATCCAGGAGAATTTTCCTAATTTAGCAAAAGGTAAAGATACTCAGATGTATGAGGCATACAGGACCCCAGCTACCTACAACCCAAACAGAGCAACACCCAGGCATATAATAATAAAAATTCCAGAAATTCAATACAAGAACAGAATATTAAAAGCTGTAAGACACAAGAAACAGACCACTTACAAGGGAACACCCATCAGAATTACAGCAGATTTCTCTGCACAAACCATCAAATCACGAAGAGCGTGGGGGGAAATAATTCAAGCTTTGAAAGATAATAATCTCCAGCCAAGATTGAGATATCCTGCACAACTGTCCCTGGAAATTGATGGAAAAACAAGGTGCTTCCAGGATAAAGAGGAACTGGGGGAATTTGCAACCACCAATTCAACTCTACAGAGAGTATTGCAGGATATTCTAAAAAAAGAAAAATACAAAGAATCCAGAAATAATGGCAGAGAGGCCACAACGAATGGAGCAGAGAACAAAATGAAGAAGACAAACTGACAGCTACTGACAGAAAAAGAGCTCAACAGAAATGAGACAGAGAAGATTGGATGATAGGAACAGCTATTTTGGAGAAAATGACATCTTAATAGGTAATACTGATTTAGTATCATCTTGTTTTGAAGTCTCATCTAGCTTTTGTCCTTCTGTCTCCAATGGTCTAAATAGGCTGTATCTTATTGGATTTTGTTATGTATGATAGTATAAGCAAAAACCTTTTAAAGACAAGGAGATTATACAGAAACCATTGTTCATTTTCTGTTAGTCAATTCTAAATACTCTGTAATGCTGTCATTCTCTTGAATGGTTTTACATTGTTTTGATATACTTAATGCTACAGTATACGAAGTTGTACTCAAGGATTTCAAAGAAAGAGACAATATGGTAACTACTTTTAGGTTAGGATTATCTGGTGGTGAAACACTATTCTGCTTAAATGGTTATGTTTTGATCTGCGCTGTTTCGTTGTTATGCCCTCTTTTATCTCAATCTCCACTCCATTATTTACTTTTTTATCTTTATCCTTTTAATTAAAGGAAAAAAAATAGCAGGATATATTATAGTAACCCACTTTGACTTTTCATTACCTTGATTTAAAGCCCTGTATTACTCTCACCATCTGGTATTTAACTGATGTTCCCCTATTCTGTTTTGCTGGATAGTATCAGGTTCGAAAGTTTAGGCATCAGCTGTAAAGATAATGAGATTCATTATGACGCCCATTCTTGTTGACTTTTATCTACTTTTGAAGACCTACAATGTCTCCAATGGTTTGGTTTTGTCGGTTTTGTTCTTTACTGTTTTGTTCAATTGTATTATAACTAACGATATAGGCCATTCTATTAGAGATAGCGGGAGGCATTATGGTAACCATTGTTGATCACCTTGTATTATGTTTTTACATTATCTATTATGTCCACCCTTTTGACTTGACCAATTCTGTCCTGTTATGTCTCATTTGGTTTTACTCTCTTCCAAAAAAGCAATAAGAACCGTGGGAGCAATGAAACCCAAAATGTGTAATAGTCATGGTACAAAAGAGAGGAAAAGAAAGTGCTCCAAACTATATAACTGCATGTATATTTAAGTGTATAAGATAGAAAATGATATCACTGAGTTTTATTGGATCAATGAACAGAACTGTTTGCAGTATCATTGATGGAATGTCCACTTTACAAGCTTTAATTTTGTGACTTGAACAACTATTTCTAAGATGACAATATGTAATCCATTAACTAGTGATTTCCTACTGTTCATTTTTCTCTGTAAATCTGTATAACTTGTACCCTTTCCCTGCTTTTTTTTTCTTTTCTCCTTAAATAAAATTTAAAAAAAAAAAAAAAAAAAAAAAAAAAGAGATAAGGCTCACACATTTTTCCACATCTATATGGTTTTCATTCAAATTTTGAGTTGCTTCATTTGGTGTACACAATCTTTTTAATCTGATATAACTCCATTTTTATGCTACTTGTTGTATAATTGTGTTTCTCTTTAGAAATTACTTTCCTGTATCTACCTCTGAGAAGAATGCTTATTTTGTACAATTAGGGTAGAAATACTAATTCCATTTTTTGAAATACGTGGTTCAGCCCTGAGATTTCTTTGAAAAGTTTTAGTTATTCTATTTATAAAATTGGAGTATACAAGCCACCCACTATGATTCTATTGGTGTTTATTTGATGTTTTTCTCCCAGTAGTATTTATTTTATGAATTTTGGTGCACCAATATTCGGTGCATATGTATTTAAACATTTTCCTTCTAGTTAAAAACTTCCCTTTACCAGTATATAGTGATCACCTTTGCCTGTTCTGATCAGCTTTACATTGCCATTTACTTTGCCTAAGAATAAAAATCTACTCTTCCTAGGTAGCAGGTGCTCAGTACACGGAATATTGTTATCTCTCATTTGATTTAAATCTATTAATTCTTTGAATTAGATGAGCCTCTTTAATGCAACAGACTTTTGATCAAGTCTTTCAGTCCTGCTAACAGAGGAGTTGAAGCCATATTCACTGTGAGTTATTACTAAAAGATACTGACTTACTCCTCTCTTTACATTCTTCTTAAAGGGTTGACTAAAATAAGAATATTTATGCTTAAGAGTAAAAAAAGAATCAATCACTAAAATTCTATTGTACTACTTGAAAATATTACAAGACACAAATATCTCATCTGTATTTATTATTCTTCCTTACTGTCAAACTGTATAAAACTCTGTAGCCATCTCTCATGGTCTTTAGATTCTAAAAGTATTCTATTGTATTCTATTCTATTCTATTCTATTCTATTCTATTCTATTCTATTCTATTCTATTGCTATAACATCTGCAAAACTATTATAAACAAAACCAATTACAATACTCAATTTGTGACATTTACAATGTGGGAATTATCAATATTTAAATATATTGTAAGCCCTCTGTGCTTGTTGTACATTCTTCAGGAAAATAGGTGAAGTTTACATCTACACAGACTGAGTAGAAATCACATCGCTTGAGATGTTTAAGAGTAGATATTACACAATTTTCTTTGTGATCTCTGCAGGGCATATTTTACATCTTTATTTCTCAAGCTATAGATCAATGGGTTCAACATGGGGATTACCAGGGTATAAAATATGGAAGCCACTTTGTCAGTGTCAAAGGAGTGACTGGATTTGGGCTGCACATACATAAATATCAAAGTCCCGTAGAACACTGTGACCACAGTCAGGTGGGACCCACAGGTGGAGAAGGCCTTGCGCCTGCCCTCTGCAGAGTTCATCCTGAGAATGGCTATGAGGATGAGCAGGTAGGATGAAAAGATAATCAGAAGGGAGGAAATCAAATTCAAAGCTGATAAGAATAAAATTATCACCTCAGCTTCATGTGTATCTGAGCAGGCCAAAGATAACAAGGGGAGATTGTCACAGTAGAAATGACCAATGACATTGGATCTACAGAAAGACAAAGTGAAAACTTTTACCGTAACCAGAAGAGACTCAAATGTGCAGTAGAGGTAGGATGTTGCCATTAGAACCCAACATACTTTTTGTGACATGATGATATTGTAGAGGAGAGGTCGACAGATTGCCACGTAACGGTCATAGGACATAGCAGCCAAAATAAAAAGTTCACAAGAAATGAACAAAAGGAAAAAAGCTAACTGCATAGCACAACAATAATACGGGATTGTATTTTGATCTACAATGAAATTTTGCAACATTTTTGGCCCCACTGCTGTGGAATATCCAAGGTCTGCAATCGCCAGGCACCTGAGAAAAAAGTACATGGGTGTTTGCAGCCTGGAGTCCACCTGGGTGAGGATGACCATTCCCAAGTTGCCCACCAGTGAGGTCAGGTAGATGATGAGGAACAGCGCAAAGAGTGGAGCCTGCAGCTCAGGACGATCTGTGATTCCCAGCAGAATGAATTCGGTCACCACTGTGAGGTTGAGCTCCTCCATCCAGAGAGATCAAAATACCTATTTTGTGCAGATGTATCAGCATTAATCAGTAGCGTTCCACTATTACTGCATGGGCAAATTTATTTCATGGAAGCCATGAAAATATAATCTGTTGAAAATATCTAATTGACAGTATTTTAAAATATGCTTACTTTTCTTCAAAAATAACATTATTCATTTTCAGAAATACTTTGTCGTGAGAAGAGAACTATTACTGGAATCCAATGGATACAGGAAAGTTAAAGTGCTTAACATCATATTAGAATCATTTTGGAGCTTAAAATGATGTCCACATCAATGACCTTTTTTTAAATTAAGGAAATATTATAGCTAGAGAGATTGATACATAGATACATGGTAATATGTATAGAGATACATATGTATAGCTACAGAGGCTTAAAAAGATGTGTAAAATATTGATTGTAATACTCTTTATATTTCATAATTATCATTTGTGTAACAATCACACAATGACATCAAATGTGTATATTCAATAAGATGACATTCACCCTAATTATGAAATAACTTGCTTGGTTATTCCTCAAAAAACTAAAATTGCCATTAGGACCCAACACACTTGCATGGTTATTCCTCAAACTTGTATTGTTATTCCTCAAAAAACTAAAATTAGAAATTTCCACTACTCCTCTTCTAGGTATCTTACTGAAAAAAAGACATCATGTCAAGTTATTATGTGTACTCATTTACAGCAGCACAAATCATCATAACTAAGTCTTGAAGACAGTTTAGATGTTCAGGCATAGAACAGATAAAGAAAAAGTAATATATATATATATATATATATATATATATATATATATATATATATATTACTATCTTACTGTAAAGAAAGATAAATCTTTTGTAGGAAAAGGGCAATTCTCCAGACTATAATGTGAAGTAAACTATAGCATATATACAAATTTAAATATATCCTGGCTTCTCTTATATGAAAAATTCAACTTGAAAATAAAGAGCAAAATGAAAGCAGATAATAGAAAGAGAAATGAGAAAAGGAATCAAAATATAATATATATACGTGCCAACTCTAAAAATGGAATACAAATATCACGTGTTGCAAACATGTACTAATAAAAACAAAATGAATAAATAAGTTTCTAATGATAAAATTCATAACAGCACATTAAATTGCATGTGGTGCTATTTTGCTACCTTTCAAAACCGTTTTTGATAAAATGTCAACATAAGCTTACTTTATGTGCGTTTACTTACATATTAATACTTCTCTGGGAATATTTTAATCACTACTGAGATAGATAGCAAATTAGATAAAAACTATATGAACAAATTTTAAGATATGAGTAGGAAAGTTATTAGAATAATATTATATGTTGAAAAGCAAAAGTTCCCTAAACATAAAAGCATAGCATATGTTGGAGAGAAAAATACTGATACACTTATAAATGCATTTTTAAAGTCTCTTATTGTATAAAGCTTGTACCACATTACAAACTACCTAGAGACAAAACAAAATAAATAAATCCTAGAAATGTATGGATTTCTTATGCTATTTGAGATGCTTCTTTGAATTACATCCATAAGAACTTATTCAAAATATGATATAGTGCAAATACAGAATGAAATCAGACACATAGTATCTTGAAGAAAATTAGCATTTTTATAAAATATTGCACTATTGTTTTAACATATTATATTATATAAATATTCATATTATAAACAATTGATTAATAAATAATGTAGTATGAAATGTAGAGTCACACTTCTCTAAGTAAGCTGTAACTGGATAAATAAAAATTCATGAAAAATGCATTACATTTAACTTACACTTTGTTCTCTGAAGAAATTCCTGAAATTATGGTGATTATGTGATCTGTATCCCAGCTCCACAATGATAATTTTCTCATATTAAATAAGAAAAAGATTATCATGAAAAGGTTTTTTAAAACACAAGAATAAGGTAAAACTTAATTTTGTTGTGAGAAAATATAAAAGTTTTTTAAATATCTTTGGGCTTCAAAGAAAAATCCAACTTAATCTTTTACAGTATGTTAGTCTATCTAGGTATTTCTATTTTATTTTTAAAATCTATACTTTGAGAAAAATTTTCTGCAAAATGAAGAACACTACCATTTCAATGAATCTGCATATTAAGTTCTCCTAAAACTCAGTAATTTTAACACCACATCATGAGATAGATATTCGATTTTCCTCATCAAGTTTTCAGGAATGTATAGTTAGTTATATAAATATCAAATGCTAAAACAATTTCCAACAACACGCAGTAGTGTGTGCAGCTAGAAATAACTGGACATTAGAAGCTCCCAGTAACTGTCTCAACCACTGAAATTTCAAAATGTAGCATTAAACAAAATTATGCTTTATTTTTAGGCTGTATCCTCTCCCAATTTTGACTTTATATATAAAATATATGTACAAGAATACATTATCTTTGTTGTATGATTATATATAATACACAGTGTTGTATTTTCTAAAAAAAATACACTTGTATGTATGCATATGAGGATATGGATGCTGTATAGGCTTTTGAGCTTATGAGCACTCATCCTCTCTGATTAGGTGAAAATGTTAAAAGATAAAAGCCAAAATGAAAGAAGAGATTTCTTGTCACTGCTTGGGTGTTATGCAGTGTAGAAAACACAGAAACAGAATTACAAACGCTCTTCATTAGATGGCAAAGCCAGAGCAAAGATGTGATAATTTCCGTGAGTCCTGAGATACTAGTCTAATGCCTGGCATCACAGGAAACATCTGCCTTTGTTACCTGGGATGAAAACGCACTCTTGATTCTACTGTGCATGTGTCTTTTAACTTGGATCCTGAGGGTTTGAGGGCAATTTGTCATTCTTGGAAGAGCTTTAGAACCTGTCCCAGAGGAGATGCTGAGCAATTTGCTACTCATCCTTGGAGCCTTTGAGAATTTAACCAACTGTCTGACTGTTACCCACTAAATCTCAGGACTATGTTTAACAGTGCCATTGTGTCATCTATTAAATTATTTAACTATGTATTTATTTCACAATCTGGCGATCCCTCTTAAGGGGTAGCTTTTCAAAATATTGGCATTAAGATCCCAGTAAGGATTTCCTACTCCCATATTCAACGCAGCACAATGAAAAATAATGAAGTTGTGGAAACTTAATTACCCATTCATAGATGACTACAGGAAAAACTTGTGATTGACACACAGTGCATCACTCAGTGTTTAGAAAAGAAATACACAATACACAATAGTTTAGGGACAAGTGTTCATGGGCTCTGTTCCTGGTAGGATCCTGATAGCCATGTGATCCAGCAGAGCTGAGAGGTAGCCAGGTGAGGCATACATCCTCCCCCAGATGTGACGATAGCAATGTTGAATCTAGAAAACTTTATCCTACATAGGATGAGCCAGTAACAAGGCAAATACTGCATATTCCCATCTGCACAGCATTAGACATTGAAAACATTCAGACTTGTAGAACAGAATATAAACATAAAATGATAATTGCAAAGGGCAAAGGCTTGGGAGAAAGGAGGAGCAGCTAATAGCCAAAAAGTTTCAATTATGCAAAATAAAGGAACATTATATATTTGCTATAAAACATTCTAGGTATGTGTTTTTGTGTGTATTTATTTGGTTTTTGGACCTGGGATTGAACTCACAACCTCACATTTGTGAAGCAGGCACTGTGTCACCAGCTATATCTCCAGTCTGCAGTTATGTTTTATAACACTACATTATATGTTTTAAAAGGTTGAGTGTATACCTCATGGTGAGCATAAGAATTCATGAAGGAATGAAGTAACAACAGATGTTGCAGCAAAAACTTGAATACTAATTGATTCAAGGTAACTGGGCAGCCATGACACTCTTACTATATAAAATTTAGCAGAAATATCCAGAATAGGAAAACAAATAGGGATGAATAAATGATTAACAGGGGCTGAAGAAATTCAAGAAGTAGGAGGAATTACAACTTGGCCACACAGTGTAGATAGAAATGTGTTAGAATTAGACAAAGCTGGTGGTTATTCACTATTCAGAATCTAAGACAATTTAATATCATGTGAATTTTATGGCATGTGATATGTCTAAATAAATCAATTTAAATAAAGCACTGTTTATAATAGCTAAATGTTGTAGACCACCCAATTGACCATCAATCAATGAATGGATAAAGAGGATGTGGAGATAACTAATTCACTAGTTCCCTGTGATGAGTGCAATTGTTGTATATGTCTCTAACTATGCCAAGAAACTTAATTTCAAAAAAGAAAAGCTCCAAAGGAAAAAATTCAGTGCTACTATCATACTAATATTATTCCTCACATAAGTAGAAAAACAATCCTAAAATTCACGGCATCAGAAGAGACTTAGAATGGTAAAAGCAATTCTGGGAAACAAGGGTAAAGCAGGAGCATCATAACTCTAAACTTTAACTTATATTAAAAGCATACTAATGAAAAGAATTAAGGAACAGATAGAGGATTGAGAGAAAACTCCAGGCACATTCGTCTGCTTTACCCTTGACAAAGGGGCCAAATATTTTCCTAAAAGGAAAGACAGCCTCCTTAAAAAGTTCTGGGAAAACCGGCTTTCTACATGCCAAAGATTGAACCTAGACCCAAATCTCTTACAATGCACTAAATTGAAATAAAAATGGATCCAAGATTTAAACATTAAAACAGAAACATTTGATTCACTGGAAGATAAATTAGGTAAAATGCTTGAAGACACAGGCATAGACAAGAGCTTTATGAACAAAATCCTACCTGTTCAGGAAACAATGCCATATAAGAGTATGAAAAAATATTCAAGGGAGATAGAAAGATGGTGGACAGATAACAACTGGCTACAGAAGCTCCCTAAGATAGTCAACATAGAATACAACATAATAGAGAGTCGGGAGCTCCAAAAAGAGGGAGATGAATTCTTTTATCCCAAGAAGAAATTAAGGCAACTTGTGGACCATCCAAGGTCCCACTGCGACTTGCCAAGGTCCCGCTGTGACTTGCCACGCCGTCCATGGTCCTGCCACTTCCACTCACTGGAGTCACAGTTACATTGAGTCTGGCGGTCAGTGAGATGAACAGAGAGCTGAATTGGCAGGGTGCCTACATTGACCCGTGGTGAGTGACAGCAGTGGAGCCATTCTATAAATAGGGGGGCTCTGGAGGATGACATTCTGGGACTGGGCAGGACTGGCAAGTACAAGGGGCAGCAGTGACTTCAGTCAGTTGCTCCCTTCCTGAACGGAATTGTTGGAGTGAGCTAGGCCTGGTTCACATGACCTGGCTGAGACCCAATAGGTTATCCAAGGTCAAGTCCCTGCAGCAGTGGCACACACTAACCACACTGGCCCAGTGGGGCCTCGGAGGTTTGGCCAGTCCAGAAGAGAGGTGGTGCAAAGTAACAGTAGTGCAGGCCACAGCAGCTTGACTGATCCAGAGGGGAGGGGCCAAATATGCTGTACTTGTCTGCAACTAACTAACACACTGCAGTGGGAAGGGTCATCTAGCCAGAACACTTTAGAAGAATTGTAAGCAACAAAGAAACAAACTGGGGCCTCATGGAAGAAGCAAAAAATATGGGAAGAGGACGCAACAACAAAAAGTACCCAGGGCTCAGGCCTGAGAACATTGACTCAGGACAGGTAAATACAAAGGAGAATGAGAACAGCAAACATGCAATATCAGACACAGTACCAGTGAATATAACAAGATATATTTGAGACGTGATAGATGAGCTCAAAAGTGAAATATTTAGCCAAATAAAGCAAGTTATAAGATTAAAGAAAGAGATACTAAGCACCCCTCAAGCAGAACAAACAGAAGAAGGGAGGAATGCAAACAAAGGAGAGAATCATATGGTGAAGAATATAAAAAATATAGAATACATGAAGCAGATTCAAAGAGATTACCAGGAAATTAAAAACTCTATGGCAAGATGGCAAATGAGCTTGAAAGAAGCTAAGGATAAATTATCCAAACTGGAGGACAATTTTGCAATGTGGGAGTATGAAAGGAAAAACTTTTTAAAAATAACAAGGAAACAAGCAGTGACAATACAAAGGCTAGAAGATGACAAGAGGATCTATATCTTGAGAATAAAGAATGTGAATGAAGGAGCTTGGATAGAAACAATGGAACTGCAAAGATTATTCACAGAAATAGTAAAGAAAAACATCCCAAACATAGGAAAAGGAAATGATATTCTGATATATGAGGCATACAGAACTCCAGCCACCTACAACCAAAACAGAGCTACACTCAGGCATATAATAATCAAGATCCCAGAAATTCAATATAAGAACAGAACATTAAAAGCTGTTAGAGACAAGAAACAGATAACCTATAGAGGAAGGCCCAATCAGAATAATGGCAGACTTCTCAATAAAAACCATCAAGTCAAGAAGAGCCTGGAGTGAAATATTCCAAGCACTGAAAGAAAATAACCTCCATCCAAGATTGATATACCCTGCTAAACTGTCTCTAGAAATTAATGGAGAAACAAGATGCTTCCAAGACAAAGAGGAACTTGGGAAATTTGAAACCACCAATCCAACTTTACAGAGAATACTGCAGGGCATTCTAGAGAGAGAGAAAAATACTAGAATTCCAGGAACAGTGGCAGAAAGGCCTCAATGAATGGAGCAGAAAACAGAATGAAAAAGATAAGCAGACAACTGACGGCAAAAAAAGAACATAACAGAAATGAGGTAGAGAAGATTTTATTCAAAACTGATATGATTTGTCAAAAGAAATCTCCAGCATAGTGAAAAGAAAACCCACAAACTGGGAAAAGATTTTAGTGAACTCTCTCTCAGACAAGGGACTCTTGTCTAAAACATATAAAGAATTAAAAAAACTCAGACCCCCAAAATTCAAAGATCCAATCCAAAAATGGGCATCTGAGATGAATACGCAATTCTCAGATGAAGAAATGCAAATGGCAAATAAATACATGAAAAAATGCTCACCATCATTGGTCATTAGAGAAATGCAAATTAAAACCACACTGAGATACCATCTCACTCCTGAAAGAATGGCCAGGATCAAGAAAACTAACAACAAATGCTGGAGAGGCTGTGGGGGAAAAGGAACTCTCCTGCACTGTTGGTGGGAGTGTAGACTGGTGCAACCATTGTGGAGGTCAGTCTGGAGATTTCTCAAAAAGTTGGGACTGGAAATCCCATTTATTCCAGCTATTCCACTTCTAGGCATATTCCCAGAAGAACTGAAAGCATCATACCACAGTGATATATGTGCACCTATGTTTATAGCAGCACAATTTGTAATCACCAGATCTTGGAAACAACCCAAGTGTCCATCAACTGAGGAATGGATAAAAAAGTTGTGGTATTTCTATACAATGGAGTATTATTCCACTATAAAGAAGGATCATGTTGAGATATTTATCAATAAATGGGCGCAGCTTGAGACCATACTCATAATTGAAATAAATCAATCTCACATGTGTGAATACCGAATAGTTTCCCTAATGTAAGTAATGATTCAAATATATAAAAATATGTGGTAATCATGATTCCCCATTAGGTGGCCTTGAAGCCTTATAAAGTTTTCACTTATTAATTAGAAAGGCTTTATTCTGGGCTTCTTGATATGGAAATATTTGAAGCTAGAGTATATGAAGTTTTATCCAAATATTTCAAGGAAAAAGACAGACACTATGGTAACTACTATTAAGTCGGGTTATATGGTGGTGAAGTACTAGGTTGCTGAAACAGTCATGCTTTGACCTCTATTGTTATATTGTTATGTCCTGTATTATCTCAATCTCCCCCTTATTCTTTAAAAAAAATTATTTAGTTATTTCTTATGTTTGTCTTAATTAAGGGAAAAAATTTAAAAAATTAGGATATATAATAGTAGCTCTTTTTGATTTCCTATTAACTTGTTTTGAAGTTCTGTAATACTCCCACGATCTTGTTTTGACTGATTAGACTCTGTTGCATTCTGTATGATAGTATCAAGTTTGAGGGTACAGGCAACTACTTTGAAGGCAATAAGATTCACTAAGATGCCCATTCTGGTTTGACTATTGTCTCCTTTGGAAGTCCTGTAATGTTTACAATGCCTAAGTTTTATTGGTCTTGTTCTCTACTGTTTTGTCCAACTTTATAATATCTAATGAGATAGACAATTCTTTTTAAGGAAACAAGAGACAACGTTGATAACCATTGTTGATAACCTTGTACTCTGTTCTACATTATGTGCTATGTCTATCCTTGGTTTTGACTGACAGCTTTGTTTTGCCATATTTGACTTTATTCTCTCCCCCCAAAAAAAGTAATAAGAAGTAAGGAGTAATAAAATGTGTAAATTTTGTGGTAAAAAAGAGAGGGGAAAAAAAGAGCTCTAAGGGATATAACAGCAAGTATGTTTAGGGGTGTTAAATAGCTAACTCTATTAATGTTTTTGGATCATTGAACACAGCTGTTTGCAGTCTCTCTGTTTGAATGTCCACTTTGTATTCTTTGATACTGTGATTTGAGCAAGTATTTCCAAGATAAGTTCTGTATTACGTGTACCCTTACACCGCTTTGTTTTGTTGTGTATTTTTCTCTTTTTCCTCTTAAATAAAAATTAAAAAAAAAAAAAACCAGGGGACAGTGGGGACCCAAACGAATGAGACAGGAGACATGATCTTTAGGACTCTTAGGACTAAAGTCCTCTGCAGAGTTTGTAGCTCTGCTAGCCAGCCAACCGACTGTTCCTGGGTGGCCCGTATTTATTCAAAACAAGAAAGGCATTGAATGGAAAACGCATGAAACCTGAGCAGGATCTTGGGAGGGGTTCAAGGACCCCTCTGAGCAACAGATGATGCTAGTTAAGGAAAAACTATCCCCAGAAAGTCTGCAGGTGGCCTTAGCTGTGCCCTGTCTGTCCCCTGAGGCATCCCCTCATTCTCAGTTCAGCCATGGCCTGGCCACACCACAGCCCTGCACATGTACCACACCAACACATCCCTAGCTTTTTTTTTTTTCCATTTTGACACAGAGTCTCAGTGGCTAAAAGGCAGTCAAACTTGCAAACTTCCTGACTCAGCCTCCCAGAGTGCTGAGATTACAGACCTAAACCACCATGGCCCTCACTATGTAGCTCAGACTGCCCTTGAACTCCGTAGAGCCTAGGCTAACCTTGAACCCGTGGGGGGCCTCCTGTATCAGCCTCCCCTGTGCTGGAATGGCAGGTGTCCACCAAAAGCCCAAATTAAATGACTGTGGTCTAAGGGGCTTAAAATAGCCTAGGATAATTATGGTTTTCATTCTGATGTTCAACTCAACCAACTTGATACAGCCTGAATACCTTTATCGTTGCATCGCTGTAGTTTCTTCAGAGAACTTTAGCTTCAGAGGATGCCCTTAAAACTTTATCCAAAACCAGTTTCCTTTTAGTGTAAAATGTACACCTGAGAGTTTTATAGAGCAAGCAGTTGTTCTGTAGTTTTCCTGTACTTTGGACTAAACCAAGGACCTTCACACTGAGCTCCATCTCCAGCCTGCCTTTTTTTTTTTTTTTTTTTTTTTTAGACCAGATCTCTCAAGCTGGGCTGGGCCCAAATTCGCTATCTTCCTGCCTCAGCCTCGAACACGTCTGGGATTCCAGGTGAGCGCTAACAGGGTTGGCTATGATGAGGTAAAACTGTTAAGCATCTGCTTGTAATCTAGGATGACACTTCCCAAAATAGCCTCGCAGAATTATGCCAAGCCCCTGTTCCGTGGAGAGTGCGAGACGTTACTCTAGTGAGGGTCGCTCTATCCGGAAACTGAACTTTGAACTCCCCGCGCACGCCTGGGTCCTCGCACAGAAGCAGCTGAGGGACACACCAGGCTCACGCTGCGCACAAAGAACGCTCTGCTGCATCAGAAACCGAAGGTCCTGCTGCGTGTGCGCAACCAATGAAACGTCCCGACTGTCAATCAACCCCCAGGAGGCGGGCCCACCGGAGCACCGCCGGAAGTGGGTGTGGCCACTGTACGCAAGCGCGCGTGACGTTACAGGCGCGTCCGTCGCCGCCGTGGGTCTGCTGTTGCCTTTTGACGCCCTCCGGTGGCGGCGCTTGGTGTCCGTTGCCCAGGCCGGAGCGGTCGGAGCTCTCGCGAGCCGGGAGATGGTGAGTGCAGGCAGGGCAGTCCGGGAGCTGGCGGCGGCGGGTAGGGGCTCTTGGAGCCCGCGGTCGGGGTCGCGCTCCATCCTGGTCCCCTTCGCAAGGAGACCCTGGGCGGGCTTTGGAACCCCGGGGCCCAGTCAGTCCCTGGGCGGCGGCCACGCGGGCCGGACCAGGCCGGGCCTGTTCTGGGCAGCTCCGCCGCAGCGCGCGTGGTCCGGCCTGTGCGGAGCGGCGGGAGGTGGCCAGGCCCCGCCCCTGCTCTCGCTGCGGGACAAACATGGCCCCTTGCCGCGTCTTCCAAAGTTCTCTGAAAGCAGGAGCCCAAATTAGGGTCTTTTCCCTCAACCTCGCTCTTTCTAGGGCTCAGAATAAGACCTGAAATTTGCAGGTCCTACCTCGAAATGTCAGCTTCGCCTCTCTCCGATTCAAAACGTCGTTAACCCTGCTTACCCTCATCGTGCATTTGAAACGCTCGCGGTATTTTATTTTATTTTTATTAGTACGTGTTTGCAATACCTTCTGGTTACATTCGTCCTGGGGAGTTGGTGCACGTACACGACACATCCTGATTCTTCTGTCTTCTTTCCCTCTTCTTCCTGTGCCTTCATGCCTTGACCTCCTTCCCATGTGCAAAGGATCTATCTTCCTATTTGCTATTATATGTCATTTATTTTACTCTATTTTGAATTTCTCATATAAGAAAAAACGTATGGCTGGTCCGATGGCAGTGGATTATCCGAACTTATTAACATTAGTGTCACTAAAGTTGGTATACCACCCCCCACTGCTAAATTTGACTGGCTTAAAAAAAAAAAAAAGTATATTCTCAGTGTTTTTTTTGTTTTGTTTCTTTTTTGGGGTTCATTTTGTTTTGTTTTTGAGACAGGGTCTTGCTGTGTAGTCGAAGCTGACTTTTGACTCACTACATAGCCCAAGCTGGCCTTAAACTTGCTTCGATGCTCCTGCCCCTGCCTCCTAATTACTGGAATGACAAGCATGGGACCCCACTCTTAGCTGCTGACAGTGTTCTAATGACCAGTTTCCACAGACCCACAGATCTCTCTTTCTGAAACATTCGTTTCTTGCAGAAATTTTTTTCTGAGGGAGAAACAGAAAATAAGCAAGCATCTCAGACTCCCTTGTAGATACTCCATGCCTCCCCCAAGTTTCTTTCCTGGGCAGACAGCCTAAAGAATTTCTTTGGCCTGAGGTTCCTCTGCAAACTTTCCTAGATGATCTGTGCTGTTAGCACAGCCAGAGATCCGCACCATTCCTCACTTGGCTTCATGAACTTGCAAATATTTGTTCTCTTGAATCTTTGTTCGATGGAGTGAGTGGAGCTTGGGAGACAGCATGAAATAGGTCCCAGTAGGTGAATTATAGGACAGTAACATATTCCGGGTCTGAGGAGGTGGCTTAGTGGTAGAGTGTTTGCCTGTTCTATGCACAGCCCTGGATTCAATCCCAAACCTGCACATAAATACATAAAGTGTTTCAATATGACATTGCATGTGTTAAAAGTTCATGTTTCTGTTTGTTCTTCTTAGCATGTAGGTTTTCAGTTAATTGTTCATAAGTCAGATTTATTCGTAAGTCTGAAAAACACAAAAGAAATACTGTGAATAAACTATTTCTACTTGTACATAGCACCACACAGCACCACACCCATGACAATGTCTGGAAGACATGTGAGCTACTTCCAGAATTTGTTCCCAGGTTCATAATGCAAGGTCCATTCGCAACTGTTAAAATTTGTAATTTGAATGCTCTTAAGCCAGGGACTTACTGTATTGGGTTCTGTTGTGTTGTACTTGTATATTAGGTGCTAGGGACTCAACACAGGTCTCCTTGCAATGCCAAGTACACACACCAGCATTTAAGCTACACTGCCTTTCATTTTGGTGATTTCAGGTGAAATACCTTGGGTTAGACTTAAAAGTCTACCATGGCCTCAAATACAATGAATACTTTGAGGAACAGTTCAGCAAACCACCTTTTGTAGTGAGAATCACTAATCCACATCTTTATTTTCTGAAAGCAACACAAATGTGTGAGCCGCTTCTTAGCCCAGCCCCATACCCAGGACCTTCACAGTGAACTCCATCCCCAGCCCTTTGTTATTTTTTATTTTGCGATTAGGACTCATTAAAGTGCTAGGTTCCCCAGAGTAGGCTTGAACTTATGATCTTCCTGCCTCAGCCTCCCAGAGTGGCAGATCAGACCAAAACCATCAGGCACAGCTAAAGCCACACTTTGAGGCCAGAAAGAGAAGTAATTGAACCCCTTTCGGTTCTTCACAAAGAGCCTCCCCCACAGGTGTCTCCATTTACAGCCTGTCACAGATGAGCCTTCATGCTGCAGGAAGCTTCCTAGCACTGGCAGCTGGGGATCCATATACACACAGTAGCTGGGAAGTGTGGAAGGATGCAGCCCTTTCTGAGGCTTTGGGTGGTTTTGTTTTATTTGAGACTGATCTTATTTGTCGCCCAAACAGGCCTTGAATTGCTAGATTCAAATGACCCTCCTGCCTCAGCCTCCTGAGTAACTGGGACTATAAGCATGCACCACCTTTTGGCGGTTTTGTTTTGTTTTTCATTTTGTTAGGCTTTTTGGGTTTTTAGACAGGATCTCGCAGTATGGCTCAGGTTGAGCTTGATCTCACAGTGAAGTCTTCAAGGGCATCCTCCTGCCTCAGTCTCCAGAGTGTTGTGATTACAGACCTCTGCCACAATGCCTTGCACCTTTTTGAGGTTTTAATAGTGGTTTTGAGGTTTCCTTAGCCCTGTTTTTAGGCAGTGTTTGACTTTTACATCTGTAGTACGGACATATTTGTGCATTTTGAGTGAGTCTGGGAAGATCAGGACTTGTGTTTCCTGGATTTACAAGAGTGCATTTGAAAACTCATTTGAGCCAGAACCACAGTCTCAGTCTGGTGGAGCCTCTCTCCAACTCAGTAGTAGAGCGTGTGCCTCACATGAAAAGGTGCCGGTTCCATCCCCACTCCTCCGAGGAAAAACAAAAGTCCCCTGGACCTGGCAGAGTTTCTTCATGGAAGGAGTGGGAGCCAGGGGCAAGGAGAGAGTGGGGCTCATGTAGTTGTAGCTCAGGGACCTGGTCCTGCATCACAAGGGGCTAACCCAGCCCAGGGCCTATACCTTGGGAGCTGGGAGAACCTGACTATTCCCGAGCTCGGTATCTTAGTTACTTTTCTCATTACAGACACACAATACCCAGCACTCAAAGTTAAAGGAGCAAAGCTTTATTTCCACTCTCAGTTTGTAAAGGTTTCAGGCCATGGTTAACTAACCAAAGCGGGGTAGCCTGGCAGAGGAGTGTTTCAGAGGAGAAACAGTCCATGGCATGGCAGGCAAGAAGGCAGGTGCAGCAGCTGCCCCCCCCTTACATTCCACAAGCCTGTTGATTGGTGCCATGGGGGGGGGGCTCCTGTGAGCCACACCCTTAATCCAGTATCCACCTTTAAGCTGCTTCCTGTGAGTTGAGTTTTTTTGTTTTTTGAGACAGGGTCTCACTATGCAGTTCAGGATGGCCTTGAGCTCACTTTGTAGCCCAGGTTGGTCTCAAACTTGCAACCATCCTCCTGCCTCAGCCTCCTGAGTGCTGAGATTACAGTCATGAGCCACCACATCCAGCAAGTTGCTTATTTTTTGAGATAGAGTCTTGAATCACTAATTTGTCCAGGCTGGGCTCTGACTCGTAACCCTGCTACCTCAGCCTCCCACTAGCCTGGATAACAGGTATGTGCTAACATACCCAGCCTAGATCTAACTTCTGCATGTGGGTTAACCTTGTGAACAAAAGGCAGACAGGATGCACTGCCTGTATGAGCTGCTTTTGTTATCAGAATGTTAGGGTGAAAGCTCCCAGCAAACGACACCCAGCCAGTCATCTCAAAACACCAGTCAAGGAGAGGAGCAGAGTGTGGGGCAGGAAAGGAACTTTAATCAGCATGGCCAGGCCTAAAAGGACAGGGAAGGAGATTTAGGAGCAGTCTTTGGATTCTAGCACTTGGGAGGCTGAAGCAGGAGGATCTCCACAAGTTCAAAGCCAGACTGAGTCACATAGTAAGACCCTGTCTCAAAACACACACACACACACACACACACACACACACACACACACACGCAGTAACACTGTCTTCAGGAGCCTTGGGGTTTTATTAAAAGTGGGGGGACAGAGGTAAGGGGTGGTGTTTGTATTACCCACGGTGCAGGAAAACCTAGTCTCAGGCTGTTCGATTGATCAGGATCTCAAGACTGGTTCTGGGGTGCCCACCGACACTTGAGGGGCGTGGTTGGCTTCCCATCGTGAGGTAAGAGTTTCTGTATGGCAGCAGCCTCGGCTTCCTTAAGGAGGGTTTGTTGGGGAGCATCATTATGGGGTGTCCTGCACCTTTCCTGGAGTCCAGACGACTGCACCCTGGGCCTGTGAGGATGCTGGGGTCCAGGAGTCACTGTAAAAGCTGGCGATTGGGTGTCTACACATCCTGAAAATTATTTTGGCCGTGCTTAATCTTTTTCCTTTGGGGGTTTCCAGGGCAGGGTCTTGCTCTGTAGCCCAGGCTGGCCTCCTGCCTCAGCCTTCCACGTGCTGCGATCACAGGTGTCACCACCATGCCAGGCCCCACCGCTGCTGCTGAGCAGCCTGGCTTCTGCTCCTAACCTGCACAGAGTAAGAGGCGCCTCACTGTGGATGGCCTCACATGGTCTCACTTCTGTGTCTCCACCCACCCACCTGACCTCCCTCGTGGAAGTCCTGCCACCCAGTGAATGCCTAGGAATACTCTGCTGTCACTAATTTGCCTGTCTGAGTGCCTGAGCCACTAATTGGCCTGGTCTGTTCTAGTCCATGTTTTATTTTGCTGTATAATGCTTTGTTGTTGTTTTTCATCTTTTTTTTTGACACAGGGTCTCACTGTGTAGCCCAGGCATTGAACTTGTGGGCCACCCTCCTGCCTCAGCCTGCCCAGTGCTAGGATGACAGGCATGAGCCGTCATGTCCCCCTAAGCCCTCGGAGGTGTCGTTGGAGACCCTTTCCCAGCACAGGTTTCAGCACCTTTCCCTCCCGCCCTGTAACTTCACAAATGACAGCCGTACGTTGTCATAGGCTTCAAGGCCGGAGTCCACCCTCCTCGGCTCCTGACATAGAGCTCAGTTAACTCCCACACTCTGGGCTGTCCTCAGCACAGGGCCTCTACCCTGCCACTGCCCCAGCCCTGTAGCAGCAGGTGGTGATGTCCCACCTTAGTTACCCCGCGACCCCTTCGGCTGCCCCCAGGGCTCCCAGTGGACAGTAGGGGGCACGTTTGGGCATGCCAGGCGGCCTGGCCTTGTTTGTACCAGGTGGCCCCATGGAGTCCCTGCTTCTCCTCCCCTCAAGCAAATGTCCCTGAAACAAGCATCACGTGGTTACCTCAGCACTGGCACTGACCAACATGGGCCCCTTTGCACATTTTTGTACACTCTGCCCACAAGCTGCTCCTTCACGGCAGAAGAAACCTGGTGGCCGGGCATGGTGCTGAGTGCTGTCACCTGGGCCCTTGGTAGGCTGAGGCTGAAGACTGCAGATCCAGTCCCACCTGGGCAGCTTTCCTTGTCTGAAAATAAAAAGGCCTGAAATATGGCTCCTTGCAACAGCCCTGGGTTCAGCCCCCAGTACCAAGCCAGGGCCGAGTTAGCAGCCAGAGCTGCTGGTAACCAGGGCACGCGTCTCACCCCTGCGAGCACCCTGTAGGGTGCTGGCACAGCCTTTTCAACTCACAGTGTCCTGGCTCCCGTGTTGTCAGAGACCCTGAGAGGCAATGCGTTTGGTCTGGCATCTGTCTGGAGGAGTGGAGTGCAGTGAGTCTTTTTCCCCATAGACCTTACTGTTTTCTCTGTTTTGGGTTTCAGGGCCAGGCCTTGAACTCCTACATGCAAGGCCGTGGCTCTGCTGCTGAGCCCACGTCGGCCTGCTCTGTTCTGTTTGTCCAGTTCTGTCCCTTCTTTCTTGACAAATGGGGAAGTGAACCCTGGGCCTTTACACTGAGCTGCGTCCCCAGCCCTTTTTGTTTCTGTTTTGAGCCAGGATCTCACTGAGTTGCCTATACTGGGCTGGAATTTATGATCTTCCTGCCGCCACCTCCCAGAGTTCCCTGTACCTTCATGCCCGGCCCCTGCGTTTTCTGTCTCTGGCCGCCCCTCCCTCTTCAGCGCTTTACTTCCTGGGCGCTGCTGGAGTGGAGCCTGGGCCTCAGCCGAGCTGGCCAGCGCTGGCTGCTGAACTACACCCAGCGCCCCATTCTCTCTGAGACACGGGGGACGGCAGGGGGACATCTGCAGTCCTTTCAGTTATACACTGAACGTGTCACACTTCTTGCTGCCAAAACTGAACCAAGACACAGATTGCAAACAAAGTAATAGTTTATATTCTTCTCTTCAGTCAGAGAGTGAGTTCATATCCTGCATCCGGAGCCACCTTTCCCTGGTTTTCTTTTGAGGTAGGGTCTCACTGAGCAGCTGTTACCCAGACTGGGCTCCAACTAGAAGTCCTCCTGCCTCAGCCTCCTTGCAGCTGTGTGCACCACACCTGGCTGATTGCCTTTTCCTGTTGTATTGTGTTGTCGTCGGTGCTGAGAGTGGAAGTCAGGGCCCATATGCATGCCGGGCACCCGCTCCTACCACTAGGCTGTCCCTACACGTACTCCCCACAGGCCCAGAATTATATTTCAGGTTTTCGGTAATTTCCTTGCCCCTGTAAGTTTCCCACAAGCTGCAGCCTGAGCCCACAGGCCATCTCTTCACTTGGCCTTTCTCATGATTATGATGTTTTGGACTTTTCATGCTCATTTTATGCTTCATGAGAAATACTAACTTCTGCTATAGGCTCCAAGTGCAAATCCACAGTAAATCCTCTGGCAATCATAGTTAAATCAAGTTAACAGGCCCAGGGGAAGGTGGTAGAGTGTGTCAGCCGACCCTCCTCCATTCACATAGGTTTCTTCAGTCAGCCACAGGAGGTAAAGTCACAAGGACTGAGTAGACACCCATCGTGGAGCTCTGGGTTCAGTCCTCAGAACCAGATACAAGCCAGGCTTAGCGGTGCGTGGCTATAATACCAGCATTCCGGGAGACTGACACAGGAGGCCACTATTCCCACCCAGACTGGACACCTCACTAACTTACAAAATAAAAAATAGATTAAAAGGTCAGGAAGGGAACTCAGTACAGAGGCCTGGGTTCGATGCCCAGTGCCACTAAAGGAGGGGAGGGATGCACGTCCCTGGATCCCAGTGGCTGTGCACGGGGAGTGAGACTCCTGACATCCCACAGTGTCATGACTGTGGGAAGCACGGGGTCACAGAGCTGCGGGGAATTGTTCTCCTGAGTGTGGGTCCCAAGCACTGCTATCTCGCCTACCCTGGCCTCCCCATCCCTGCACACATTTCAGGACTCGGTGGCCTTTGAGGATGTGTCAGTGGACTTCAGCCAGGAGGAGTGGGCTCTGCTGGACCCTGTACAGAAGCAGCTCTACAGAGACGTGATGCAGGAGACCCTGAGGAACCTGGCCTGTGTAGGTAAGGGTGGCATCGCCCCTAGTGAGCGACCAGTGTGTTTCTTTTTGGTTGTTACTGTCCCCATTGTAGGGAATAAACAGTGGGACACAGATCTTCTGCAGAAGGGAAGAGCCAGGCGTGGTGGTGCACGCCTGGGATCCCAGCCCTCGGGAGGTAGAGGCAGGAGTAACATTCTAAGTTTGAGGCCAGCCTGCAGTTACATAGTGAGACTTCATCTCAAAAAAAAGTGGGGGCCGGGGATTTAGCTCTGCAGGACAGCGCCTGCCTGACTAGCACAAGACAGTGAGTTAATTCTGGTACCAAAAAAACAAACTAACAAGTATCAGGACGGGGAGGGGAGGAAAGGGGCAGGGCATGCGAGACCGGAGATGTACTGTGTGCGTGCACCGGTGTCCCACAGTGGATATGATGACCATGCCCTGAGACAGCACTGATAAACAGAATGGGGTGTGCGGAGTGAGTGCACCGACCAAGTCCACCAGGTGTGAGTATTTCAGTGTGCAGCTAAGACCAGGGCGGTGAAGCCTCTTCAGCTCTCCATGATGGCAGAGAACCCACTGCACACACTTACCAGAGTGGCCTGAGGTCTGCAATGTTTCTGTGATCTCTGAGCTATAAGGGTTTCTTCATCTCATTACAGGGAGCAGATGGGAAGACCAGAACATTAAAGAGGAGCCCAAAATCCAGGGGAGAAACCTAAGGTGAGTGACACAGACCAGAGAAAGCGATATCCCTCGAAAGAATCGTAATATATAGGTGTGTTAGGATGAAAATTACTGGGAAATTTTATCTTTTTTTTTTTTTTTTTTTTTTTTTTTTTTTTTTTTTTTTGAGACAGGGTCTCACTATGCAGCTCAGGCTTCTGGCCTTGAACTCATTTTGTAGCCCAGGCTGGTCTCGAACTCACAGCAGTACTCCTGCCTCAGCCTCCTGAGTGCTGGGATTATAGACGTACACCACCACACCTAGCCTTATTATGAAATTTTAAAAGCAAGCAAAACAAAGAAACCCTAGCTTCAAATTTTTCTTGGAAATTTTCACCACAAAATGTTTTCCTAAGTGAAAAAGATGTCAAATGTTGAAAGATATTTTTCTTGGAAACTGTATTAAGAAACCCCCTACTGCTGGGCATGGCACAAACCTGTAACCCCAGCACCTGGGAGGTTGAGGTAGAAAGAGCTCTGTGATTTCAAGGCCAGCCTGGGCTGCAAAGTAAATTCCAGGCCACCCTGAACTGCATAGTGAAACCCTGTTTCCAAAAGGAAAAAAAAGTCCATAGAGTGGACCCTTGACCTACAAACTCAGTTTGTTCCCGAGGACTGATTGGAACTCGCGTTTTAATTGAAGGCTCAGGCTTCTCCACACAACCTTCAAAGTCTTTCTCCTATACCAGGCAGATCTCAGAGAGACATTGGCCACGATTTCTCAGTAAGTCCCTTACAGGACAGGATATTGTAATTTTCCTTCCAGAACTCTTAAAGGGTTAAATCTGTACCTGAGACCACTGGCAGCACACATAGAGGCATTCAGGTCATAACTCAAGACTGTGGTCACATGTTAAAACTGAACTCTGGTCATAACTCAAGTTGTTTGTGTGTCATGCCAGTCATAACTCAGAGGTCCATGATTATGACTATCACAGTGTTTAGAGTTTTAGAGATTAGTACAAAATTGAGTACAATATTGTTTGTATTAATTTAGTTTTTTTATTACCACAAAACTTTGTTTTCAGTGCTATTTAACAGAAACTAGTAGCACTAATGGAAAAAAAATTATGTGTTTATTTATTTTGGGGTAAAGTCTTGCTGTGTTGCCAAGGCTGGTCTCAAATTCTTGGGCTCAAGGTATCTTCCCGCTTCAGCCTCCCAAGTAGCTAAAACTATAGGCATGGACCAATAATCCCAGCATGAATGTCACTGTTTTGACAGTAGCTAGAGTGTCCCTATTGCAGAGCACTGACAATACTCACTTTCAAACAGTTCAGAAAGGACAGAAACCATGCAGTGTCTCCAAAAATGATGAAAATGTCCGTCTCTTATCTATTAATAAACATAAAATAATCATTATTGATGTGCCTCTAATTTTTTACAGAAGTTATTTAATTCGGAGACTCTGCAAAAATAAAGAAGGTGGTCAGTATGGAGATCACTTCAGCCAGATTTCAGATTCCAGTGGAACCAAGAAAACTACTGGAGAAAAACCATACAAGTGTAGTGTTTGTGGGAAGGGCTTCATGCTTCATTCATCTCTTATTAGGCACATTAAAGCCCACCCCGGACATGAACTTGATGGGTTTCGATATGGAGAGAAGCCATATAAATGCAAGGAATGTGGGAACACCTTCAGTTACCTCAAATCCTTCCAAAGACATGAAAGGAATCACACTGGAGAAAACCCCTATAAGTGTAAACAGTGTGGAAAAACCTTCGTGTACTACCAGCCCTTTCAAACACACAAACTCACACACAGTGGAGAAAAGCCATACCAATGTAAGCATTGTGGGAAAGCTCTGAGTTCTCCTAGTTCTCTGCGAATTCATGAAAGAATTCACACTGGAGAGAAGCCCTATGCATGTAAGAAATGTGGGAAAGCTTTCAGCTGTCCCAGTTCTATTCAAATCCATGAGAGAACCCACACTGGAGAGAAGCCTTATAGATGTGAGGAATGTGGGAAAGCCTTCGTTTCCCGAACAAGTGTCCAGACACATATGATAACCCACAATGGAGACAGACCTTATAAATGTAAGGAGTGTGGGAAGGCATTCATCCGTCCCAGTTTTTTACGTGTACATGAACGAATCCATACTGGAGAGAAACCCTATGAATGTAAAGAGTGTGGGAAAGCCTTCAGATGTTCCACTTCCATTCAGATTCATGAAAGAACTCACACCGGAGAGAAACCATATAAATGTAAGGAATGTGGGAAGGCCTTCAGTGCTCGCCCTGCTTTCCGAGTACATGTGAGAGTACACACAGGAGAGAAACCCTATAAATGCAAAGAATGTGGGAAAGCCTTCAGTCGCCTCAGTTACTGTCGGGTGCATGAAAGGACGCATACTGGAGAAAGACCCTATGAATGTAAAAAGTGCAGGAAAACTTTCAACTACCCTCTGGATTTGCAAATACATGAACGAAATCATACTGGAGAAAAACCTTATGAGTGTAAGGAATGTACAAAAGCCTTCATTTCTCTTGAGAACTTTCGAAGACACATGATAACACACACTGGAGAAGGGCCTTATAAGTGCAGGGAGTGTGGAAAGGCATTTATTTTCCTCAGTGCATTGCAAACCCATGAAAGAACTCATACCGGAGAGAAACCGTACGAATGTAAACAGTGTGGGAAAGCCTTCAGTTGTTCTAGTTATGTCCAGATACACGAAAGAACTCATACTGGAAAGAAACCCTATGAATGTAAGGAATGTGGAAAGGCCTTCATTTACCCCACAAGCTTTCGAGGACACATGCGAATGCACACAGGAGAGAAACCCTACAAGTGTAAACAGTGCGGGAAAGCCTTTAGTCTTTGCAGCTCTTTCCAAAGACATGAGAGAACTCACAGTGAAGAGAAACATTTTGAATGCAAGCAGTGTGGGAAAGGCTTTACTCTGTCCACATCCTTAAATAAACACGTGAAGTTGCACAGTAGATAGAAACCCAATGAGTGACAATGAGGGAACATTCTCAATTCAACAAACAGGTTTTCAGTCATGGCTTCCCGCTGTGGAAAAATCCTATAAATATAGGTAATATAGGACTCTAGATACAAAGTAATTCATGTATGTCTTAGTTTTTCATTGCTATAACAAAATACCCCACACCCACAAGTTAAAAAGAAAGGTTTGTTTTTGCTCCACAATTTAAGCGGTTTCAGTCCATAGTTGGCTCCATGGCAGGCAGGCAGGAAGTACAAAGCCTTCCTTTCTGTCCCTTTGTGTTCCAGGCCAGGAGCTGATTGATGAGTGCCTCCCACACTCGGGATGGGTCCCCCTTCAGTTAACTCAGTCAGCCAAACCCAGAGTTATGGTAATCCGATGAGGGGACAAATGCATCCTTAGTCTATACTCATACACCCTAGGCCCAGCCACCCCTGAAAAGCCTCCCCTACAAGCGAGAGGACATGAGGCTTTCAAGAGACAGCTACAACAATATATGATGAGCCACTAAATGATAGGGATTGAAACTAAGTTGTTTGCTCTGCCACTGAACTGCACCCCCCGTTCAGTGTTGGACTGTGTACTTAGTGTGCACAAGTCCCTGATTTTATCTCTAACACAGCAAAAGAGAATGATAGTAGTGGCACATGCTTGTGATCCCAACAGTCAGGAGGCTGAGGCAGGAGAATTGCTACAATGTGAAGACCAACATAGGCCCCATAGTGAGTTTAAGGCCAACCTGAACTACAAAACAGACCATGTGCCAAAAAATAACAGAAGACACTTAGTACTGTGTTGTGTGCTTGTAATCCCAGCATTCAGGAGACTGAGGCAGGAGGATTGCCGTGAGTTCAAGGCCAACCTGAGCTACATAGTGAGACTTAAAAAAATTAACAAAAGAAAAGCAGGTGTTACAGAGTGACTGCCCTCCCCAGCTCCTCCCCAATTTGGTGTGGAGCAAATTGCTTCCTTTCATCAATTAGTTCTGTTTCCTGTGACTGCTAAATGCTCTCCCTCAGCACCTTCCCATGTGTGCTCAAAAACAATGTATTGTGAAGCAAAAGCTTCTGTAAATATTTATTACAAATGTTGTATCAACCATTTTCAGACAATTTGTACATTAATATTGCCATCTCCACTTCCTGAGGTGATATTAAAATATATCATGCCACATATGAGTACTCAGACCAGCTTTCTTTGTGAAGTCGATCTTACATTCTAGCCCATCCCTAGTGGATGCATAGTTTCGGGTATTTTCCTCGGGCATGTTTCATCATCATACTTAACAAATTTTGTCATGAAACTAATCTTGCATTCATTCATGCTTAAAACTAAATATTTAAGTTGTAGTTCAGTCCCCGCCCTATAACCTAAGATAGCCAAGGTCACACAACTTATTTTTTTCTGTAAAGTAAAAGCAATAGAGGCTAATTTCATAAGTAGTGCCAAACTACCCAGGGAGCAGGCCCACTCTGTAATCCGAGCACGCAGGAGGCTGAAACAGGAGGATCACAAATCCAAGTACCAAATGATCAATTTAGACCTTGTCTTAAAACTTTTTTTTAAACGGGCTGTAGCTCCTCACAAAGACACAGGGTTGAATACCTAGAGCTACAGGACAAAAAAAAAAAAAAAAATTCAAATTAAAAGATGGAAATTTGGGCTTTGTTCTTTTGTACATTTATCCTTGTTTCTGTCTTGATCCATGCTAGCTGCCAGGAAGCTCTGCCTGGTGAGAGAGGTATGTGACATTTGCACTTGGCATTATTTTGGTACCATACACGATGAATAGAAGTACATTGAACATTGGAGTTCCATTTAGGGAAGGGTTATGATAATCTAGAGTTTAGCCCATTATGAACTTTTCTGGGGAAGTGTGTGATTCTGAGGATTGAACCTAGGACATTTGCACTGAGATACACCCCTTGTATCTAAGGTAAAGTTGTACAACCTGGGCTCAAACTTGTGACTCCCTTGACTCTACAGAGGGTATCCTGTTTTAATGAAAAACATAGTACTCCATTCGTGGAATCCATGAACAGAATATTTGTTGTCTTTGAGATAAAGGTCTTGCTTTTATCCACGCTGGCCTCAAACTCCTAGGCTCAAGCAGGTATCCTCAGCCTCCTGAGTGGCCGAGGCTCCAGACATGCATACCATACCTGATTAAATCTGCGCTTTAACAAATATGGTACTGTAAGGGCACATCTATAGAATAACAGACTTAAGATGTGTTAGGGCAAATTTAAACCCAAATAGTGGCCTCTGCCTGTGCTCCTGCTGCCATCAGGTAAGCACCTTGCTAAATTCAGTCAGCCTGAACTGTCTGAGTCCAGCTACTGTTCTCCTGATAATGCACTGGACCAACCTGGTTACCCCCAGCAGAAAATACTATTTCCAACTTGCTTCAAGGACTTTGTCTAGGAAAAGTCACCCAGTCAAGCACACCCGCATCCTTGCTTGCACCCCTCGCCCCCGGGACGTTCATACATTATGGTAAGCAGTTCTTTTTACATAAGTCTGTTTAGAATTCATTTTCCTGATGGTACATGACTTAATTCAATTCATGCAACAGTTGTATAATAACCTGCCATTTACCAGGGATTTAGCTCAGAGGCATAAGCACCTGCCTTGCAAGTACATGGTCATGAGTTCTATCCCCAGTACAAAAAATTAAAAAAAAAAAAAAAAAAAAAAACCTGCCATCAACCTCATGTTTCCTACTTGAAAACTGTATTTAAACTGAACCTCCAGGCTGCAGCAGCCCAGGACAGGAGCCACTGGCCTTTATTGGGACCCACACCCTGCTGGGACCTGGAGTGCCAGGAAACCAAGCAACCCCTATCCCCACGCCTGTTTTGTTTTGTTGAATTTCAATATACATGAAAGTATGGACAGCTAATTTGAAGAGAACGAGAGACTCTGTGACAGCCATTAATGACTTCCCTGTTGTCTGGTTTTGAAGACCTAAATCACCTTCCTCATTCTGTTCTGATCAGGTTTATACTATGTTATTTTCTATGAATTTTCTGTATGCAAAGACATGGAAAACTATTTGGAAGAAAACACAATATGATAGTGAAGATCTCAGGTCATCTAGCTTTGAAATTTATATCTCTTATATTGCTTTCTTATGTCCTATTTTGTTCTATTTTGTTGTGCTTAATTTTACCTCCTTTAAAATAAAAATAAAAAAATAACCCCAAACTGCCTCAGAGCTGGTGACCTGGACCTGATGCCCACCAGCCCCCCAGCATACTAAACATGGCCTGCAGGATCCCTCTGTGCCACAAGTTTTCTGTCCGGTTTGATAATGGTTTTTTGGCAACAGCAGCACATCAGAATTTCCAAACAGGATGCAAACTTAGTGACCTTCCATGTAGATGACATTCAGAGGATGGCCAGAGTAGGAATTATGTTAACTGTTTGTTGCTGCAATAAACAACTGAGAAAACTTGGAAGAAAGATGTATTTTGGTTCATGGTTTTGGAGGTTGCTGTCCCTGGTTAGCTGGCTCTGCTGGTTTAGGTCTGTGACCGAGTAGAATCATCACAGGTCGAAGTGGCAAAGGAAGGCTGCTCACCTGAGGGAAGCCAGGAAACAAGAAAAATCAGGAAGGAACCTGAGGAAGTCACATCACTATTTGCTCTACCCAGCCCCACTTCTTCTCTCTGCTGCCTCTCAATACTGGCATCAAACTATGCTATCATCAAACTGGGTGTGGCATTGCACACCTGAAATCCCAGCACTTGGAGGCTGAGTCAGGAAGGTCATAATGAGTTCAAGGCCAGCTGGGCTTCATAGTGAGACCCTGTCTCAAAAAATCCTTAAGGATGTAAATTCTTTCCATAAGTTCTCATGACTTCATCATCTCCTAAATACCTGACCTAATGATGTAGGATAAGTGTAACTCCCAACCTCCAGAATGTCAGATGTGCCAAGTCCATGCCCTCTAAAATCAAAGAGTGAGTTGCAAAAGAGGTTAAGAGTAGGAAAGAGTTTTTGGAGAAAAGGAGAGGCTCCTGGCATCTCAGGTGGTCTGGATCCAAATGTCCCGGTCAACCACCTTGGTGTCTGATGCATATCTGAACTTAATGGACTTAATATCACCACTTATAGTGTAATATCAAGTTTCTATTTATCCCTTAGGGAGGTAGCCACGTCTGACCATCGAGGCTCTGTCTTGAGGCCTGGCTTTCCTCAGATGCATCTCCAACCACAATTGTGATGTCCTTGTTTTTCACTAACTTCCCTGGAAGCCCAGGCCCTCCCTGACTGTGTATTAATTCCTGTCTGACTTAGCTGCCTATCATATGATAACACCTAAGAAGATTTTACCCCATTGCCATACTATGCCACACTGTAACATCCTGGAGTAGACAGCAAGCCACTGTCTGCGGAACATTCAGCTCCAGCAATCCTAAACCCAGCATCAGTAAGGAGCTAAAGCCAGGCATGGTGGCACCTGCTTGTCATCCCAGTGCTTGGGAGGCTGAGGCAGGAGGATCCCTGCAAGTCTGAGACCAGCCTGGGCTACAAAGTAAACTCAAGACCAGCCTGAACTGCTTAGTGAAACCCTGTCTCAAAAAGACCCAAAAAATGAACTTGAGAAGCAGTTTAAAATTTAAGAATATAATTTATTTGAAGATGAGGAAAGAGGAAGAGAGAGATGACAGACACCTACCCCAGATAAGTAGGGAGAATCTGAAAGTGCACTGGTAGTGCAGAGCCGCCTTTTGAGTGCTTTGTAGGCTCTTGGATCTGATTGACTCCCTGGCTTGTCTTTCATCTTCACCTTGGGTTACTTCTGGCCCTGTGACCTTTCCCTGTCCTGGACTATAATGTGGCTGCAGAGGTCAAAACTACCTTATTAATTTTTAATAAAAGTCAATAAGGTCTTCATCCTTTTCCCTGCCTGTAGTGCCGCCCACCCCCTTTCACCCGATACTAATACCCCATGGGGAGTTTCAGGAGGAACAAACTTGTGGAAAAACCAGGACAGAATCAGAGGGAAGACATGCAGGCACTGAGAAGCTGGAGGACTGGTGGGCTGGGGCCCACCAGGCTCCCAATCACCAGCCTCACCTTGGGGTCAGACAATTACATATTTTAGGTAGGAAGCACAGAAGGCCAATAGCAGGATGTTTTATGATTGGTTCCCCAGGCTAGGTCATGTGTTGTCAGGCAGACTTGTCCTGGGCTGAAGGGGTTTCGTTGAATCAGCAAGAAGGTTGGAGGCTTGGGTGGTGGGTGGGCAAGTGGAATCAGGCATTTTCCTGAAGTGAGCCAGTCTGTCCTTGAGGCAAGTTAGCACAGCAAGATGGACTTTCTGGCTAACCTGTGTCTGTCTGACAAGTCACAGCTGGCATCAGAATGCCAGGCTGGTTGGGTCTAAGTGGGATGGTCCTGCCTATTCTGGCTAAACAGTGTCAAGCTTAGGAGCTCTGAAGTTTCCTTTACAACACCATGTCGAAGCCATAACAAACCCGTGCTCAGCCATGGTGTTATTTAGGGGCACCAGGCCAAATGGGTCACAAAATCCCAAACCAAATGTCCCTGGCAGACACAGTTTCCCAGGTGGTATTGTCACAGACCGCTAAGTTTTGTTAGAGTGAAGGCAGTCAGACAGGGCAGGACCCTTGAGGAATCAGTACATACATGTGGCATCATGGAGAAGGCACATTGGTTAAAGGCCAGATCATAAAACAAAAGATAAAATGACTGCATCTGTTGTAACTCAAACATTGTAATACTGTTTTTAGTCTACCTTGCAGTCCAGAAAGTTCTATTTTAATCCACTGAAACACTGGAATCCCAGCAAGTTAATTCCCATCTATCACCTCCTGCGCAACCCATGGTGAGAGTAAAGACACCAGGATATATTCATAGTCACGCACAGCTGGGGGTCCTTAGTCCATCTAGGTGAGGATTCACAGGACAAAGGCCTCACCCCAGGGCCTCACCCAGGATTTATTAATTCCTGAAGGAGGGAGCTGCTGAAGACAGAGATGGTGAGAATGGTAGGAATCATGTGAGTCTTGAGCTGGGCTTAGCTAGCAGAATCACCAGAATCACCTCTGCGATGTGCACAGAAGGGTGTGTGGAGAGACCAAGCTGCACAGCTCACTCGGGCAGCACCTGAGTGTGTGGGAGGCCTCAGTTTCTGGTTGGAAACTTTCGGACCTGGAGAGTCACAGCCTCTCACTCTGAGGCTCAGACCCAGCTGACTTCCCTGGAGCTGTGTGGCTCTGCCATCCCTCTGGGCTCCACTGTTTATGAAGAGACATGAGGCGAGGACATAGGAAACTGTCACTGGCTTCCAAGATTGAAATCAGCACCACAGCCAGCCCTACTTCCATCGCTGCTCCCAACGGCGGGGAGAAGGAAATTGATCCCCACTTAATCAATATTACCTAAGCAATCCCAGTTTTACAGGCTGACCATAGTTTTGGCCCACCTCATACCTACTTTGTGATTTCCCACTGGATCAATGTTACCTAGGCAACTATACTTGTAATCCGTTTGTTTGTTTGCTTGCTTGCTTGAGACAGTCTCACTACACAGTTCAGGCTAGTCTTGAATTTGCAATGATCCTCCTGCCTCAGCCTTTTAAGTGCTGGGATCACGGGCATGAACCACCACCCCCCGGTATACTTGTAATCTTATTAGGTGATGACAGTTCTGCCCTACCTTTGACCCACCTCATCTCATAGTTTTGCTCTATAAAACTCCCTCAAGAAGCAGAGTCTTGGGGAACCCACATAGGAATTCTTCTGTCTCCTTAGATAAAAGTTTTCTTTCCCCCAATAAATATTTTCTGCTCTTAGCCTCCATAGTTCCTAGAATTCATTCTTTGATTTTAGAAAACACAGACTCGGCATATTGGACACCCAGGGCCTGGGGGTTTAGCTCAGCAGCATAAGTGCCTGCCTTGCAAGTGTGCGGTCGTGAGTTCGATCCCTGGTGCCGATAAAAAGGAAAAAGACCAAAAAAAAGACATATTGGACACCCAGCAGGCTGGCTGGTTGAGATTTATACTATTTCCATGTATTATTTGAATTATTTGGATATCGGGAGCTCATCAGCTCCATATCTTAAAGAGAGGAGCTTACAGAAAAGGATTAAACTAAGCGCAACTATGGGTTGTGGGGTCTGGAACGTCAGGACTCTTGGCACTAAGACGAAGACTCCTCTGAACTGCCTGTGTTCACTGGGTCTCTAACAAGTAGAGAGGTTCGGGAAGTGGAGGGCGCATCTGGGGCAAAAGCCCACGAAAATGAGCAGGCCTTGTGACACAGCGGGTGCGGTATGTTCTAGGCAGTAAGTCTTTCTAATCGGGAGAGCTGTCTTCTCTCTTGGGTTGGCAGTTGCTCCACAAGGTCATCCTTGTATCAGTAGGAGGAGCAGAACTCGCTGGACAGCACGGCATCACGGGGCAGGCCAGGCCACCTAGGAATACCCAGCTTAGACCCTGGGGCCACACCTGAGTTCATGACAATGAGGTTGCCTGGGTGGAGCCTGAGTCAGTTTTGTTTTGTTTTGTTTTTGTCTTTTTATTGGTACCAGGGATCGAACTCACAACTGCCTGCTTGCAAGGTAGGCGCTTATGCCGCTGAGCTAAATCCCCAGCCCCTGAGTCAGTTTTAGAACCAGAACTGGAAGCTGGCGTGGCGGGCATGTCTGTCATCCCAGCACTCA